TTTCTGTGAGAGTCATAACAAATTAACACGAAAAGCAAATAGCTATGGTAGGACTAATGAGTATGACTAAATATTACTTTTATTAGCTTCTCATTGTTACTGTTACAGATAAGCATACACAGTGGGGTCAACATTATGAAAATAAGTTCTTTCTTAAGAGCTTCAGGGAATCAAAAATGTCACCTTGTGATTTTAACCAATATTGTTATAAGGTTACAAAATACAGACTTCCAAACTCTCATTTCCAATCTTAGATATTGGCTGAACTCACTGAACAAATTCTTCAAACTCTATAAATTTACTTTGTCAATATAAATCATAATCAGTGAATTATAAATAATGTGACTGCTTTTATCTGGGTCACTGGAAATAAATCAAGGTAGTCATCGTGCATGCTATGAACAAAGGCTCTTAACTATTTTTTCATGAGAAGCTTGACTACATTTTGTCAAGAGAGAATACTCTTACAATTTTCAGAGTTACACTGTTGGTGTGTACTCTTTTTGCATAGAGCAAACAACAATCCTTTAAAAATACTTGGCTGGCAGGATTTCTGCATCTTCTTAGAATCCTCCATGACAGCGCCCCTTACCAACAGGAAGTAGTTTGGAAAGAACAACGCCCAAATTCCCAAATATTGTCTATAAATGTTTGTTTTCATTTAAATGGAGTTGGTTATATAAAATAAAAGAAAAAAAGAAGACAAGCTGGACAAGCTATGGAGAACAAGCCAGTAAGCAACATTCTTCCACAGTCTCTACCTCAGTGCCGGCCTCTAGGTTCCTGCCTTCACATTCTCGTTTTGGTTCCCTTGATGATGAACTGTATATATCCTGTATGACAAATAAACCCTCTTCCCCCCAGAAAAACAAAATACTTGGCTGGCCATCTACTAAAATAAATCTGAAGTTCCTGCCTGGACCTAAAACGCTCTGCAAACCTCTAAGAATGTCTTTGTGATCTCCCCATTCGTCTATTGTGTGCTGACTTCTTGAAACATATTGAATTCTCACCTAGTTTCTATCTATCTCAGGTATACATTGGCTATTTCTTTGGTTTGATTATCTTTCATTCACATAGTATTTGTTCACTGTCTCCTTCCTTAATTTTCAAATTTAAGAAAACTTTTCAGTGAATACCTTACCTAAATCTTTCTTCATTTCTCATCTATTCTTACTCATGTGTGTTCATGCACACATATGGAGACTGTAGACTTACTCTCCATTTACAACAGGCATGCATGCAAATGAAGGTTAAATGTCTCTTTTATTCACTATGCCTCTCTGGTACTCAGGTCAGTTATCATTAAATGAATGGAATTAAGGTCTACCAGGGTGTCTAACTTTTTATAATTGAAAGGTACTATGTTGTCATTTACAAAATTCATGCTTCAAGTCCCACACAAAATATAAAAGTATAGAATTCTGTGTTGACCCGCATTACTTCATACTTTGAATTGGTTTCAAAAATTTGTATTGAAGTGTCAAAACTTTTAAAACTAAAGTCTGTATTTCTTTGACTTTTAAATAAATTCTCACTGAGAAGTATATTTTGAGTAGTGTTGGCAAATATAGATATACAAAAATTTTCTTTATAGTCTTTGAGACTAATTAATTTTGTTGTGTGATTTATTTATATTTGTAACTCCTTTAAAATAAAAATTCAAAAAAAAAAAAAAAGCTTTCTGGGAGGGAAACTATAACTAAATACAAAATAACTCCAATCCCAAGCTTTTATAACCAATATTTCCAATTTGCCTGCTTAGTTTACAAAATTTAACAGTATTTGTGAGCAAGGATGCTCTTCTAGCATCTTCAATTCACAGAAGCCAAACTATTTCTGTAAGTATAAACAAAACTTTAAAAAGTGAATCTTCCTTAGGGAGTAGAGTGAAAGTCACTACTGAAGAGAGCAGATTACAGATTCATTGAACTGAGACTTGAAAAGGTAAAAACTAAGCTAAGCGATTGCTAACTGCAATGCCCTGTTCTGGGGGCCCTCTTGGTACCTGCCATTCCTACAAACCACTTACAACAGGTTCCTTTTAACTACAGGGTGCTTTCCAGGTCACTTGGTCTCTCTACCCATCGGATCATTCCAGGGAAAGCCACCTACTCCAAACTGAGCCAATGAGTTTGTTGAGCAGTAATCCATCTAATGGTTACAGCCTAGATCTGTACCTCAGAACTAATACATAATATGTTAATATGTTCTCATCCTCTCTCTCTCACTCTCTCTCTCTGTCTCCCTCTCTCTCTCCCTCTCTCTCTCTCTCTCTCCCACTCTCTCTCTCTCTCTTTCTCTCCAAGCCACATTTGGTTTTAGCCTGACATGTAATTATAAGAAAAGGATCACAAAACAAAAATAAGTAAGTTTATCAGGAAATGTTTTATTACCCAAATTTTTGTTCCCTTAACAATTTTCAACACTGTTAGAAACCATTGGAAGTACACACTCACTCACTAACTCAAGGCCTAGGAAGCCTAATCAGGGGCCATGGTTTCAAAGAAAAGAAATGCTGTCATTTACCCTTAAAGACGCTAAGCAATATTGAATGATTACTTCTCTAATTAATCAACAAAAGATTTCTCAAAAAGATTTCACAGAGGAATTAAATCTTGACTCTAGGTATTTCCTTCTTTTTATCACTCATTCTCCATGATTGAGTCCCAGAAAGGGGGATAATGGGGACACAGACACTGACATCCATTTGCAGGTTTTGTCTGCATGGGCTTCAACAATATCCAGAAAGAAGTGAGTCCAACCCTAGCTTGCCTCTGGCTCTGTGTCTACCTCTGCTGTGTTAACCCAATGTAGGCATAATGAGTGAGAACAATGCTTAATGTCTCCTCAGGGGTCAGCTGTGGAGTTTCATCTTTACAGACCACTGTAGTCTCACATTGCTGATTGAGTGAGAAGAATGAGTTCAGCTACTAAGTGATGAGAAATAGCAAAGCTCACTTTGGATTATAATGACAAACTGATTCACTGACATTCTCAATTTCTTAGATTCCTTTGCATGAATAAAATGTGTACTTGTTTTGGTGACTATTTTTGTTATGTAAGAGTAGCTTTATTGGGATGCAGTTCATATAACATATAATCTACCCACTTAAAATGTACAGATCAGTAATTTTTACATATCCCACTATACAACTATGACCACAATACATTTTAGGGTATTTCTATACCCCTTAAAAATAAGCAAATGTCCCTGTATCCATTAGCAGTCCTGTTTCCCTCTTCCATTCCTGTGGGAAGTCACTAACATGTTTCTGTTTTTGTGCATTTACCTATTCTAGACATTTCACAGAAATAGAATCATATAATTTGTAGTCTTTTGCGACTCATTTCTCTCACAATGTTTTTGAGGGTGCCAATTCATTCTTTGATGAGACTGTATCACACACAGTTTTCCAGACACTAAAGGTGTGTCTGCATATTCTTACTTGGAGAGTGTATGGCTTTTTGACTTTATACCTGTTTCTGTTTCTGAAGAAAATCACAATCCAGAAATGACTCATTCTTGATAAAAAAGAAAGAAAGCCACCAGGTTATTTGAATATAATCATTTTCTACAGGAGGTGAAAACAAAACACATATCTACTAACCCACCCACTAACGATTATGGTCGTCCTACCATATTTTATTAAAAGAACATGGAAAAAAGAGAGAATTTATAATATGGCTTTAGAAAGGAAAAGTGGTTCAAGAGATGAGAGGGGGATGAATAAAGATGGGGTTGATTTAGATGCATTGTATACATGCACAAATACTGAATTTTAAAAAGTATTGTTGAATTCAATAAGCAGTAAACTATACACTATGAAAATATATCTTAATAAAATCAGGGTGTTTTTAAGTGGCAAAAAATAAGGACACAACATTTTGAGTGGTTTCATGTATGGTGTACTAGAGGATAGCTGGGTTGCTCTCGCTGCTTTATTATTCCATCTATCCCAATGTAACACATCTGGAAAATTCCATCCTATATGCACAATAGACTAACAGTTTCTAAAAAGAGACAACGCCCCCTCTTTTTGTGACAAAAAGTGTATTTCATCTCATAGATGGCTCTTGGGAACTCCAGGGATCCCCAGGCTATCTTTTTACAACTGTTCATCCCAGTTCTGCTCTAAAGCTCACAGGGGACTCTTCATTTAGTTTGTTTTGCTTATGCAATCATTGACACAGACTTTGGGGTAGAAAAAAGATCAGAAAACATCATGAATATAATTTTCAAAGCATTTATCTGGCATATTGTGTACACCTGGCTATATCTTACTTAAAGCAGGCAATCAAAATGAGATGCATCACAAAGTGATATCTTTCTTGTCTATTCTAAAATACTGCTCATATCAGCAAGTGCAATGAGACTTTGCTATCTGTTACTCAAATTCTCAATTATTCTAGTGCTGTCTGCACTTTTAACACCAATCATGAACCCAGCAATGTAAGTTTTACTTCCTATCAACTTCTCTATCTATCTCTACGGGTATGAAAGGGCCTTATGGCTCCTTGTGTTTGTATTTGACAATAATGAAATGCTCTTGAAATGTTCTAAAATGGATATTAGTGTCATGATGTTAAGATAATTGTGCTGATGTCAATACTTGGAAGCAGGGATTTAATGTTTAGAGTATTAGTTGATTGTTCCTTAATAATTATGCTTTGTTTTAAAAATCTAAGGATGATGGTATACTCAGTAACTTCTGATATGCACTCAAGTAGAAACCCAAGTGAAATTTATCCCAAGGTATTTCTACTTTTATTTCAAATAATGACTCTTAGAACACTAGATTGTAAACCTTGGGGTGGTAGCACATGTTTTTATTCCAGGCACTCAGAAATATAGATGTGAATTTTAAGCCAGGCAGATCTACAAAGGGAGTTCCAGGAAAGCTAAGACTGTTACATGGAAAAACTGTCTCTAATAAACAAAACACAAACAAACCAAAGCCAACTAGATTGTAAGTTAAACCAGTAGCCTGGGCACCTACCTGACAATATCCCCTTCGAGAGCAATCACTCGCTTAATGATCTTCTGTTCCGGGTTTTTAGGAGACCTAGGATAAAAAGATAAGGTCATATGATCAGCTATGCTGCTGCTGTTTTAGGAAAATAAAATAAATGGTTCAACAAAATCAGGTGTAGTAAAGTCACTGCAGAATGCTTTGCACTCATGGTATGATATCAACCTTACTTGGGTTTCAAGTGCCCTGAGATACTGTGGAGATAATTATGTTTTTTTAAAACCTCTGAGAATAAAGAAGCCACAGTGAGACTTAACAAAACTGAAAATCACAAGCAACTATGGATAAAGTTGGTATAGTCTGACAATCCTAGTACATAGAGGTGGAGATAACAAGAGTTTCCACACACAGCAAGTTCCAGGCCAGCCTGGGCTACATGAGACCCTATACAAAGTCAAACAGAAACCAAGAGGGATAAACAACTTAGATGGCAAGGCATAATGACTATTAGTGGGTTGATATTAAAGACAATTACTTATAAAAAGTGATTTATAGGTGAGAAAGCAGACATTTCTTTTATCTGATAACACTTTGTAACATTTAAATCATTTTAAAACTAAAAGAAAGTACATGTTTTCTTTAACTAATAATATTCTGTAATGTTCACATCACTTTAAAACTAAAAGACGATCTTCCAGAAAACCACAAATTATTTTCCTAAAAAGAAAGCAGAGAATTTTGTTAATCATATTGAAGTTCAGTGATGTGATGATTATAGAAATTGAGAGAAATAAACAATAGTGCTCCTGACAGTTAAAAGAAATTGATAGATTTTGATACAGTTAAAAAGGGATTTTTGATTTTAATCTCCTTTATAATGAGAAATTTTTACTCTAAGACACACTACTTAAATAAATCCCCACCTGTTCTGAAATATGCACCCCAACTGATTCCTTCCCACATTAGACAAGGATTGATCTGTGAGGTCAAGAGAGTATGGGAAAGGGATGGGTCTAGTATGTCTGAGATTTGGTTATAAAAGAATCTTTCTCATTCTCATTTCTCCTCTACAGCAAGCCACATCTGTCCTGAACAACTAGCTCTACAGCAATAGTCATATGGGGAAGAACTCAGCCTGCTAATGTCCCAGCAGTGAGCTGGGAAGCATGTCCTTCAGTACTAGCCAAGCATAGAGAAGCGGTAGCCCCGAGCAACAGCTTGTCTGCATTCCTGGAGAAACTGAGCAGATGCCGCACCTATGCTGCCATCAGGAAATGTGCACCATCAGTGTCTGTTGACTTGAGCTGGTAGGTATTGGAGGAATCTTTTCTGGAAAATTTTCTGCTGATACCATTTTTAACCTCCCATATAACAGACTTGTTTCAAGGACCAGATCATATATCACATAAACAATCATTTAATGTGTACTTAAAAATCAACCAATTCACATTTTGAATTAAAATGCTTTTTTAGAGGGAATGCAAAAGTTTAAAAACAGGAATAGAATTATAAAAACTGTGTGTCCTGAATTAAAGGAGTTACAGTCCAATTTCTATCCCACAATACATCTTACAGAGAAAATAAAAATACATTAAATAGCTGTAATTACAGTCATGTGATTATAAATATTCTTTATTTTGAAGGGAAACTGGATCAGAGTTTTGACTGGCCTCTTTCAACAAACTGAATAACTATTATTCTGTAAGTTTAGTGTCCCTAGCACACAATTATAAATCTAAATCTAACTTGAAGTGTTCTGTTACGTTCAAGCTATGGAAACTGGTTTCTTTGTACAAGGCAACTTGAGACTGTCTAGAAAATAGCTTTCTAATTCTTCCATGCCAGTCTCTCCAGACCTCCTCTAAGCCTGCTGTCACTCACCTGAAGAAGTCTTTCCTCCTTCCCACTTCCATTCCCTAGGGACCCTAACTCCTTCCCAGTATCAATCTTAGCCTCTTCTTCTACCCATCTTTAATCCTTTGTGTCACCTCTGACTCACATCAACACACTCTGCCAGGGACCCTAGAGTCACCACACTTACTTAGTATCAAGAGTGGTCAAGAAAGCCAAAGAACATTCATACATCAAATGAAGACAAGAGTAGGCAGTTAGAGAAGTATTAATATATTATATAACACATTCATATTACACCTTCAATGCAGAAATAACATGTGAACTAACTCTAAAATCCCCCATTGAAATTGAGGTAGAATGAATGCTAATAATGTAACATAAATGGAACCTCCTTAAAAAAAAAAAAGTTGTGACAATAATTGCTAGGCTTCTGAGATACTCAAAAAGTATACTGCATTTTATAATAATTTGTATTTTAAGATCCTGATGCAAAATAGAATATATAAAGTGAGCTATCTATATAATTAAAGTCTTATGAGTTACTACTTTAAACATACCTATAAATTTTAATGTAATATTAAACTCATTAATCTAATCAAATAATTCAAAACTGAAACAAGCTATTACTAACATTAATTCCATTACTGCTTAAAATCTATACCTATATTTTAATCATTAGGCTGTTGAATGCATTTCTTTGAAGTAGAGGTGGTGAGAGAGTTATTACAGATTTGCATCATAAAAGTTATTAAACTTCTCTTTGTCTGAATTTTCTTGGCTATTTGCCTGTCTCCTAGCCAATGTGAGAAATAACAAGTGAAGGATTGGGTCTTATTTCAGGACTACAATGCATGCTGCCCAATAAATACTCAAATTTGCATTTAAATTTGTAATTTTAATGTTTTCACAATATGCAATATTTTAAAGATTTAATTTCTGGAACCTATAAACATTCCAATCTTATGCTCATGATTTAAACAGGATGAGGTCTGGATGAGAAGAATAGCATTTCTTCTGTACTTTGTGGGTCTCAGGGGTTGTGTTTGGTGTGACATAATAAAGCTCCAATCAGAAGAAACAAGGTCTAACATAGCCATGACAGGATGCCCATGAATTTCTGTGGAATTTCACTTTCTATTGTGATTAATGAGTTACCATTTTAAAGTGGTCATAGGCAGAACACAGCTATGTCTTTGGTCACAAAATTCTCTGTAATTGATTTCATGTTCCCCTGGAGGACAAATGGGAGGACATGTTTTATGGAAAGTGTGTCAGGAGTACCTGTCTCAATCTCTTACTTCCTAACCCCACTGCCTCTTGATATCACACAGATGCCTTTATTCCATAACTAGGAATGTCTATTCTTTGATTTGTCTTGAAATTATATAACCTCAATTCAGTGAGATGGTAGATTTGAGGTTCAGATTGACCAAGATTCTTACAGATTTATCCTCTGGATTAGAAATCAATCACATTGGGGCCGGGTATAGAGGCACATGCCTTTAATCCCAGGATTTAGGAAGTAGAGGCAGTTGGATCTCTGTGGGTTCAAAACCTGATCTACATAGTGAGCTTCAGGACAGCCAGAAATACATAGTGAGACTCTGTCTCAAAAAAAAATACAAAAAAAAAATGGGGGGGGGGGTGAGGGATGGAAGAAAAGGAAGAAAGGAAGGAGGAGAAGGAGGGCAGGGAGGGAGGGAGGAAGGGAGGGAGAGACTCACATTACAGTCAAATGTAAATCTGAGCTCTTAAAATGCCTTGTACATTAAGGTTTATTATGACTATTATGACACATATCAAAGCAAAGTCTCACAATCTTTTTTTTTTTACATTTTGCTTGCTTGTTTGTGATGCTTGGGATCCAATCCAGAGTTTTATATATAAACTATGCCTTTGTTCTACCATTGAGTAGTAACTCAATTCCAGGTTTCTAAATCTTGATTCTCCTTTACTACTTTTAACCCTACCCATTTCTACAGTGAAGTTGTCTTCTCCATGACTGAAGCAGAACAATTATCTGCAAAGGTGCAGCCTGTAGCCAAGAGAGCAGTGTTTGCTGGGACTGTTGAAGCTGGTTTGTGAAGGAGATTGTGACTGGAGGAAGCTAATGCTGAGTGGGCTCTTCTTATCATGCAGACCAGGTCAATCCAGAAACCACATGACTAAATTGGAATTGTAGCAATGTTTTGGCTTTGCCACAAAACCTTTTCAAATAAATAGTAAGAGAGACAAGCACATAGGAGATTTTACATATAAATTCTAATGTCTCCTTCCTTGTCAAAAGATAGCCACAAACCCTGAGTCCTTATTCTTGCATGAAACATACCAGTGGAGCTAAGAAGTCAATACTGCAAATTTCCTAGAGTCCTACAAGCCTGACCCACAAGTGTTCAGTGGCTGAGGTTGAGCTTGGAGGATTTCTATAAATCCTACATGACTTCAGATTTTGACATCACATAACCACAAAAGAACATGTATAAATGCCATAGCTAGAGAACTTACTTTAAAATAACTATTAAAAGGCTCTGAATCCCTAGAGCCTAAGGTTGTTATTACAGTTCACTCTCTTAGGCTTACATAAATAGTCTGTTCTTTTGCAAATTCTGAAACAAAAAGGACTTGTCATATTCTGATTATTAAAGAGCAAACCCACGTGTCTTAAAGTCTTAGTTCACTTTTATTACACAATTAACTAAAGAAACATACAAAGTAAATAATAATATTCATACTGAATAGTCAGTTTCGCTTTATTGTCTGTGATAACAAAAGTCAAAATGATATTTTTCAGCATCCCATTCTATACACTTGCTTCATTCTCTGCTGTGTGCACTTTCTGCATGGTTTGCACATACATATACCACATACATTTTTAAAGAAAGCACACTTGGATTAGTCCACTTGCCATATGAATGGTATGAATAACACCAGATTTCTCCTGATTTCTGGGAGTATTCATAACATTGTATGTATAGAATACCTTATTTCAGGTGTTTTTGCTGCTACTATATCCATTTCCTAACAACCACTAGCACTGTAACATCTCAGGAAATGCATATTCCAAAAGGCTGCAGCATTTACAAAGTGACATCTGTAAAGTGACTAGAATCCATATTAACAATCCACATATGTCTTCTGTGTTTATGTTCTAAAAGGGGAAGAGGTGGTCCTGTAAAAAGCACCAAGACAGCTACAGGAGGTTGTATGAACAGAAAATTTTAATGAGAAGTGGAGATCTA